GCCGCCCCCTGCTGCTGTTGGGTCTGGAGATGACGGCTTGGTTGGTGACAGCTTGGTGACCATGTCCTGTCCCATCCCACCCACCCGGCTGCAGACCAGGCACTGCCCTGATATCCAGCGCCCTGCATCAGCGATGCCGAAGACTGATCCGTGGTTTTTTCCCTGGCACACGGACACGGTGCTGTCTTGTTCCGCTCCTTTCCTGGCCTGTCCCCTCCCAGGCTCGGCTGGCACCGGTGCTCCTCTCCCCTGCAGCCCCGGGCGAGGGGGCTGGGCAGGAAGGGCACAGCTCCCCTCCGAGAAATGCAGACAAATTAATTAAAAAATGGAGCCTTTAATTTTTTTAGCTTTAATTGAATTCCGTGGTGGGGATGGGAGGGAGATGGGGAACCTGCGGGGCACGGATTTGCAGGGCTGTGTGCCCCTGTCCTGGTCCCCAGGGTGCCTCCTGGTCCCCCCGCACTGGGTAAACTACGGGGATGTACATGGGGAGAGGCCAGCGGGAAGATGCCTCGGTAGGATGAAGCCTGTCGGTGCGGGCGAATAATAAACAATTGTCCCTGCGGTCTATTTATAGCGGCCGAGCCGGAGGATAAGTTGCGGGGTTATTTTTGGAGTGGCTGAAGGCACAGTTGCTGGACGGCGTTTCTGAGCTAATGAAGCAAACATTTTCTGTCCCGCCTGCGTGGAGGCTGCATGTCCCCTGCCTCTCCCGTCTGCCTCCGGCAGGGCTGAGAGGAATACACCGGGGCACCACGTGTCTCAGGTTGGATGAGAAAGGGCTTGTGATGGGGCTTGAGCGTCCTGGGATGGTCTCCCCCTGCCCCGGGTCAGTTCGTACCCCCGGCAGCTGCCTGAACCCCCCTCCCCCTGCCAAGCACCTGGGGGAAATGGGGACCAGCAGCAAAATGCTGACTGGACCCTGTGGTGGGTGAGGGTGATGTCCTCCTCCATGCACAGCACTGACCCCGTCCCACCCCAGCAGTGACTTGTCCCAGGGCCACGGCC